CACCCGGCATTCACAACAATGTNTGTGTCATCAACGTCAGCGTCACCACCCGGCATTCACAACAATGTTTGTGTCACCAATGCCACCAATGTCAAGCAGCATTCACACAAGCCTGCACGCTTTGTTGTCACGCAGCATTCACACATGTGTACCCAATTTGTCAGATCTGTCACCTGGCATCCACACAAGCCTGCGCGCAATGTTGTCACCCCTGTCACCCACCATCCACAACAGCCATCACGCAATGTTGTCACCCCTCTCACTCGGCCTTTCAATGTATTATGGGCCCAGAAGTCCCACTCTCAAGCCTGCGCGCATTATTGTCACCCCTGTCACCCAGTCATGCAATTGTCGCCCATAAGCATAAACCAGGCCACCAACTCACAAGCTTAAATGCAACAACTTAAAGGCAATACTAGCTACACAAGCTATGCTAGCCCCTGCCCCTGCCCCTGCCCCTGGGGGGCTTTGCTCCAAGCCCTTTCCCTTGCTCCTGGCTGCCTCGCCCCCTGCTTCTGCCCCTGCTGGGGGTCTTAGCTCCTTCGACACACAGGCCGTACGCGCCAGTATCCACTAACTCTGGAGCAGAGGTAGAAGCCTTTACCCTCTTTGCCGGCTGTCCCCTGGCAGACTGCTCCATCACCACAGGCCTGTTACCACTTGGGCGCTTAGGGTGCTGTTGCACACTCCGCTGCTTTCCACTTCCACCCACCGTCTTCTCATCCAATTCCTCCTCAGACAATTCGGACTCACTCTCCTCCCCCTCCCCTGTGTCAACCTCACCCTCTTGCTGGGTGCACTCCGGGCTACTACCCTCACTCTCATACTCCTCCTCATCCTCTGACAGTAGATGCATCTCTTTTCGTATCCGTGCGAATGCCGGCTCTGGAAGCAGGCGCCGGCGGCTAGGTTCATGCAACTGGGCAAGAGTGTCGTCCATCCAATCATCCGCCGGTTCCTCTCCTACAGTTCCTGTCATCACGTCCACCTCCGGTCCCATATCGGGCACACCATCTCCTTCTGTGGGGTTGACCTCCAACTCCCCACCTGCAGAGTGTTATACAATAGTGAGGTGATACAGTACATAGGACAATATACAAATGATAATGCAAAGCATACTAATTCAAAGCACGAGGTAGTGACACCCCAAACACTCAACTACAACACCTGCTGCATGGTGAGGTGGATATGCCATAAATGTTCACACAATAGCCAACAGGTTCAGCGGGTAAAAATCTCACCAGCATTTGCGGTATCCTGTCCAGCCATGCCCTTCTTTGAATAGTCATGATGACCAAACGCCTCCTTCACCTCCAACAAGAGTTTGTCCGCATTGTACTTCTCTCCTTGTGGAGGGACAGCCGGCAGGCCCATTAGTTGGCGCTTTTTGCCTACACAATACACAAGTGTGGTAAAGTAACATGCAACACAATTAGCAGCCAGGCTAAATGATCCTCTGGCTAAACTGTCAACTACCAACACCTACCCTTTTGTCGATTCTGCATGGCATGCCTAATGGTTTCCTTCAGAGCATCCATCACTGCCTGGAGGGCTACTGGCTGGGCCTTGAGCTGGGACAGATGAGCAGTACCACCTGTCCTCAAGTTGCACAGCTGACCAAGCCAATTCTTCAGGACATGCCAGAGATCGAGGTTGAGGCCGGAGGGTGTAGCCCTTAGCTTGTAACAGTCAACAAGGTGCTCCCAAATGTAACCCAAACGTAGCAATCTGCACGAAATGAGCGGCCATAATCAACTAATCAATTAACTGATCCCTGATTCATAGAAGTGTGCAGAGTGTGTCAAGTGTTCAACAGACATACATGGAGTCATGCATCCACAACTCTGTGGTATTCCGTGTACCTACCTCTCACACATGATGTTGTTGAACGCGCTCGCAGCATCATTCCCCATTCTCCGAAAGCAAGGGTGGTATGCCTCGGGGATGGTCGAGAGGTCCACATCTGCAGCGCTCTTCGCAAAGGTGCTGCATGTGTACAGATGGAAACACGTCCAGGGACGAGTTAATGACAATTCACAAGGCGGCAATACACTAAGAAAGCCACAGGCGTACCTTCGTGTAGAAGTGTTTGATTTTCTAGTACTCTGTGGACAAACTTTCGAGGCGACCAGAGCAGCATGAAGTGGTGTCAAGCCAATGTCCCCAAGCAACTGCTTTGCGTCAATGTCACTAGATTGGCGCAATAGGTTGACAAGGTCGTCCATATGGCACCTTTCCTTGGACAAGGCATCCTCCAATTGGCGCGCGGTAAACTGACTTAGATTGTTTGCCCTGGCAAACTTATGTACTCCAAACTCATCCACTGGACGATGCTGGCTGTATTTTTTGCGTGGGCGATCTTGTCGCCGACGGGCGATGTTGTCCAGGGTGTTCCGGTCAAACTCGTAGGCGCCGACCTCATTGCCGTTGTCCATGGACATTGTGTTGGAAGGATACGTTAAGCTTTAGACGCAATGAAGAAATGAAGAAGCGCTCTTTCATAGTATGAAAATTGTAGAATCTTCATGCAACTTTTGAACGACCAGGGTGAGTTCTTGATTTTGTAAGAAGCTATAGAATTCCTTTATTTTTTCAAGGTAAATGAATGCTTATGTATTTGTCCGTTAGTAGCGTAAAGCTTTGAACACTCTTTGTACGGCAGATTCGCCACAATGTTTTGCCTGAAGACGCATACAATGTTTCTGCTCGCGGGGCCGATCGGGTATTATGCCATCGCTGCAGCGAGGTTGCCAGCCACTTTGGAGGGGGTGTACTTGGACCTTCTCCAGGCCTGCGGTGACCTCTGGGACAAGGCCATAACACGGTAGGCATATTGTAACTCGATTACAGGGCCTAGATGGAGTAGTGTGTCCCTAAGAGTGAGATCTTCCAAATTTCGATTACAGGGAGGAGCTGAGCGGGCTGCGTGAGCGAGTAGCATCTGCCATTTGTGGGGTGGAGCGGCACCTGTCAGCAGTGGAGCTGGATATCAAGCTTCACAACTTACTCCACCTTGTGGATGGTATTGAGATGTTTGGTGAGTAGCCTGTGGTTTCGAGTGACCTTGGGATCGAGGCGCCCCCCACACCACCTGACACTATTTTCGACAACCTGACACCCACACCCCTACCACCTGACACCCATGCACACGTGCAGGGCCCCTATTTGCATGGGCCATGTTTCAACCGGAGTCCATCTGGGGCATGCTGTCCCGGCTTGCTCACAGTAAGGTCTATATGGAGTCTAGCATGTTCTTTTCAGCGCTGGACAAGGAAGTGACGCTAAAGCTCCGGCAATCGCCCGAGTATGCTGTCCTGGGCAGGCGGGATGGTGACGAGGATGAAGTCGACCCGGGAATGTGGGACCCCGAGACGTACTTGTGCGAGGGTTTGCCAGTTATACGACTAGGGAACATCGAGGAGGAAATGTACAGACTGGGTCCAACGGAGCTAGAGGGGCTCGAGCTCTTGTATCAGCGGTACAACAAGGAGGGTCGTGTCCATAGTCGCTGCAAGATCATGAAGGAGATCTGGGTTGGGGAGATGAAGCTCCAGAAGGGGTCATGGTTCCTGGTGCGGCCAGATGCAGAAGGGGATGGCCTCATGTGGTTCGGGGTGGTGAAGGCCCTTATCCGCCACAAGGGGCCAGACCGTGCCATTTATGAGGTAGTGAGGGCAGACTGGTTCCGGGGCCCAAGCCTGCAAGCCCAGGTTGACCGGCGTCTGCGCTGCCCAGTTGTGAGAAGCAAGCCCATTAAAATACCAGATGGAGAATGGTGGTTCGCCAACGCTATCGTGCCATGGCCATGTTGGGCGATGCCTCATCCCAGTAAGCCATCCAGTGCAGGTCTCAAGGTGGTACTTGCTAGGCATTGGCATGTTACCAGGTTTCTCTCACCATATCCCCGCATCTAGGGGGCGTCGTAGTGTGCCAGGGGTGATGTGACGTGTGCAGCAATGTATGGACGCCGGGAGATAGCTTTGCGCAGGCTTCTGTGGATGCCGGTGATGTGTCGTGTGCAGCAATGTATGAACGCCGGGTGACAGAGGTGACAGCTTTGCGCAGGCTTCTGTGGATGCCGGTGATGTGTCGTGTGCAGCAATGTATGAACGCCGGGTGACAGAGGTGACAGCTTTGCGCAGGCTTCTGTGGATGCCGGTGATGTGTCGTGTGCAGCAATGTATGAACGCCGGGTGACAGAGGTGACAGCTTTGCGCAGGCTTCTGTGGATGCCGGTGATGTGTCGTGTGCAGCAATGTATGAACGCCGGGTGACAGAGGTGACAGCTTTGCGCAGGCTTCTGTGGATGCCGGTGATGTGTCGTGTGCAGCAATGTATGAACGCCGGGTGACAGAGGTGCAGCAAGACATGTAAGGAGTTCGCCTGGTCACAATCCAGCAGTCATATATCGACAATCTCAAGCGACGACAACCTGTTACATGTGTCTGTAATAAAAAAGGGACTTTGCGATGGTGTGGGGAGCTCTTTGAGTGGTGGGACTGTGGAAATCCAGTTTGTTTCGCCCGTAACAAACTTGTTACGGGCGAAACAACCTCCCTCTGAAACGTTTGGATACGCCTATACAACACATTTCCAATTGCTAACTTCTCGGGACAAGAAACCGTCCTTAAATTTCCGTTTGGAATGTCCAATTAATATCTACAAGCTTGTCCACCCAGAAAAAGACTGGCTTACCGGGTATGCTGATCTGCTCGCCGCCATCTTCTGAACTTATCTAGCGCCCAACAGGCACTGCCAGGAAACTCTAAATGTTTACATACAGGGTGTACGCATTTGTTTAGCAGGATTCAGCATAATTTTTAAGATGCCGTACACTTCCGGACCGGGGTCCGGAATTGTACGGCATTTCACCTCTTGCTGCCCAGAAGTCATGTGAACATTTGGACAATTTGCAGCACCAATAAGAAACGTCACTGGTTTAGCACTATGAGATTGCTGTGAAAATGACACCATCTGGTACCTTTATGCAGATACGCGACCTTTACTTACAGAAGAGACAAATAGGCCAACGCCTTAAACGTGAAGTGTTTAACTTTGCGTGTGAACTTGCACAGTGCCGCGCCGGAGAAACCTTCATAGTTATTGTCGATGGCATTGAGTGGGTTGCTACAGTTCCAAGGCGCAGCAAGCCAGACGATCTCGTATCAATGAGATTCTCGGCTGGCAATCAGGTGAATACTGTGCCAGGTTGTTGTTGAGAAGTGTTCGGCGCGCAAACAGATTGTGTCCGTCCTCACAGGTGGAGAGGACGCTAGTCGGAATGCTTGGTAGTGGCGCCAAGGAGGAGAGCCTTAAGAGGTACATCCGTGAAGGATTGGCGATGAAGACAAACGAGTACAAAGAGCGGATCAGGGGCATGAGCCATGATGCCGCTCTGGTGTTTGTCCGGGACCACATAAGACACACCACACCAGCCCAAGGACAGATTGGTCGCGAGGACAACATGATGTACCATTGGCCCATGCGGCCATGGACTCGGCTGTATGATGAGGTACGCTACCTGCCTTTGTTCCGCCCAGGTTGTCTCAGCTGAAGCCAGGGTGCCTGCACACATGCAGATCATCAAGAATGCAGCAGCTTTGCCGCCGATAGCTGCTGAGTGTGGGCTGCCAGGCAGCCAGCACGCCGCTGGCAGCCTCCCTGAGCACAGCAGCGGGTTGTGTACCATGCCAGGGGTCCCTGCACGCAGCACGGCTTTGTCTGAGCATGCCGCTTCAAGCTTTGCGCTTCACCTCCGTGCCGCCAGTGTCATCACGTCACAGGCAGCCAGCGCGGCTGACAGGACCATGACAACGGTGGGTTTCCAGCTCCAGGGCTGGGGCGGGGAGCAATATGCATGGGCACCTTTACAAACAGATTGTGTATGTCACAGGGGAATGAAGAAGCTTTGAAGGCTGGTGAGGAGGTGGTGACCTCCGGGGGAGCTGAGGTATGTACCACTGCCCTGTCGCCGGCCCGCGGCCTTCCATCCTTCCCGCACCCATAACACACACGCACGATCTTCTTGCCTGTCACCATCCACCCAGGGAGGTGATGCTGCCATGGTGGACCCGGTGAAGCACGGTGGCACTGGTGATGCTGGCGAGTATGGGGTGTCCGAGGATGGCACAGAGGTCTCTGGTGCTGGCCAGAGCAATGGGCTGGCCCCTTCAGAAGCAGGCGAACAGGTAGGATTATGGGTGAGATCAAGACCAAGCTCATGCATGGCAGGGGGGAGTATGGTCGCACCTTGAGTGTCGTGCGGTCTCCCTGACCCCCGTCCGTCCCCTGTCGCTGCTCCTGCAGTCAGAGGAGCTGGTTCATCTAGGCTTTGGTGTGTGCAACGAGACCAGGAAGCGAAAGCGGGCCCCAAACATGACCCGGCTGGTGGCGGACGATGAGGAGCAGCAACGGGAGATAGACAGGGGACGCAATGATACAGATGATGCCGCTCCACGGTTTCCGTGCACGGTAAGACAGCAGGTGGGGGAGCCTGAGGGGCGGGGTCGGTCTACATAATTGAGGGTACACCGGTGTACCACAGAGCATGCAACGGGTGCACCAAATGACACTCCACAGGAGCAGCACAAGGGGGTGGAGTGTGTCGGCTGGGGATGGCACGAAGGGGGGCATCCTCAGATGCACTTGCTTGCTGTGTTCTCTGTGGTGTACTCCGGTACACCTGGGCTTCGGTGCAAGTCTGCTTCCCGCTGCCATGACTGCCCGTCGATCAACCTGGCGAACGTGTCATGCCTCCTGTGCATCACTCTGTGTGACGCGGCCTGCAGGAGGAGGACGCCCGTGGCGGTGAGGCGGCTGCTGTGCCATCCCCGTCGGCTGCAGGACGAGCTGCCATGCCCAGCCCACGGTTTCCGTGCACGGTAAGACAGCAGGTGGGGGAGCCTGAGGGGCGGGGTCGGTCTACATAATTGAGGGTACACCGGTGTACCACAGAGCATGCAACGGGTGCACCAAATGACACTCCACAGGAGCAGCACGAGGGGGTGGAGTGTGTCGGCTGGGGATGGCACGAAGGGGGGCATCCTCAGATGCACTTGCTTGCTGTGTTCTCTGTGGTGTACTCCGGTATACCAGGGCTTCGGTGCAAGTCTGCTTCCCGCTGCCATGACTGCTCGTCGACCAACCTTGGCGAACGTGTCATGCCTCCTGTGCATCACTCTGTGTGACGCGGCCTGCAGGAGGAGGACGCCCGTGGCGGTGAGGCGGCTGCTGTGCCATCCCCGTCGGCTGCAGGACGAGCTGCCATGCCCAGCCCACGGTTTCCGTGCACGGTAAGACAGGAGGTGGGGGAGCCTGAGGGGCGGGGTCGGTCTACATAATTGAGGGTACACCGGTGTACCACAGAGCATGCAACGGGTGCACCAAATGACACTCCACAGGAGCAGCACGACGGGGTGGAGCCTGAGGGGCGGGGCGGTCCGTGTGAGGGAGGGTGCACCACAGAGCACACAACGGGTGCACCGCATGACACTGCCCGTTGACCAGCCTGGTGAACCCAACGTGCCTCCTGTGCATTACTCCGTGCAATGCGGCCTGCAGGAGGGGGGCGCCTCTGCTACTGTGCAGCTGCCACCGCCGGCGCCTGAGGATGCCCGTGGCGGTGAGGCGGCTGCTCAAGCAGCAGACGAGAGGAGGAGACTGCTGCCCAATGATGAAGCACACCTTGAGCGAGAGATCCGCCGCATGGCTGGTGCGGTGGTGTCCTATCGGGAGTCTCGCCATCGGCGAAGGCCCACCAGGAACCGGGCCATCCAGTCATCATCAGACTCGGACGTGGAATCTGAGCCGGAACCAGAGGACAGCCATGTACTCGAAACAGACCTTTTCACGCACACGATAGACATGGTCCCGGTGATGCTTGACAAGGAGGGGTTTGCGGTAGTAGACGATCCCCACCTCGCCTCTCTGATCACTCCTGATGTTCCCACAAGCGCCACTGAGCTCGTGTCAGGCGATAAGGCAGCAGCAATATTTCAGCGTGGGGACCTTCCCTCGCGGCAGGGAGGGCTACCACGGCTTACCCACGAGGGCAGGCTCCGACTCAGCAATGGAACCGGGAGGCGTATGATGGTCAAGCTGGACAAGGTGCAGCCGGGGCCTAGCCTGTCGAACATAGCATCCTACGTGGAGGGTGTTATCCAAGACATAGTGGAGCGGATCCCTGGCTTGCACCTGGTCAAGCCTGGTGTGATCCTTGGCAACAACCCTGGCGGCACAGCCCCCATTCGTCGGCAGACGCTGCACGTGGACATGCAGCCTGGCAGAGGGATGTCGTTTGTTGCAATCGTGCCATTGGAGCAGGACATCGAGCTGTGGGTGAGCCCAGGGAGCCACCACACTGTGCAGGCGTTTGCTGCTCGGGCAGAGCCTGCTGCTGCAGCTGCTGCTGCAGCAGCTGATGATGCCGAAGCAGGTGATGCAAGCAGAGCCGACAGAAGCAGTGCGGCAGGTGGGGAGGCCAGCCCCCACAGCGGTCAGGGGGCGGGGCGGGGTGGCACGCCATCAGGCCTGTCCCTGGCGAACACATTGACCCTGCCGGACGAGACAGCCCTGAGGTTCGTGTCGCACCTCCCGAGTCACCCAGTCATGAGGATGCGGGGACAGCCTGGCCAGATCATTTTCCTGCATGGCAACACTGTGCATGCTGGGGCGGCTGGCAAGGCTGGCACCTGGAGCCCGCGCCTCCACTGGTATGTTCAGGGTGGTGATCTGGAAAATGAGACATACAGCCTGGCTTATGTCCACAAGGAGCTCCGTCGGCTATTCCACCTCTCCTGAGCATTGAATATGCACACGGATGCCATTCCACAGTGGCCAGGCAGATTCCATCTGTGAGCGGCCAGCTTGTAGTTTGAGTGTGAGAGGGTGGGGTTAACCCCAAACGTTTGGGGCTGGTGAGACTGGAGTCCTGGCTGTGGCTGGTGAATGACCACAAACCCGCTGAGCTGGCGGTGTTGCCACCGTGCAGCTGGCCCATGAATGGGTTGAGACGTGCTCGTGTTCTGTCTAGCCTGGGACATGATGGTCAGACCGGCAGGGTGGCGCCCTTGTGTGTGCCCCGGTGTGCTTGTGCTAGGTCTTTCCGTCAGTCCCTGTGAATCCTAAGCACAGTGTTGAGAGTGATCGAAGTGCACCATTGTTTGTCCATCAGCTCAGCCATGCAGGCACTTTATCTCACTAGATAAAAGACAGCGGAATCCATGCTCCAATAATCTGCTGACAATGGTCAGGCCGCTTGGCGCCCTTGATATAAAGAAGCAACCCGTGGAGGATGACTGGTTGGTGTACACTCTGACTTTGGTCATGTTGGGCTTCCTGGTGCTGGGCCTGGGTGGGGCTTCTCAATGAAGGTACAGCTGATGGTATGGCTGATGGA